GGAATTGATCCCCCACCTAGGAAGGCTACCAATACAAAGTGGAAGGCGGGTGGGGGGAATATTTTGGTAGTTAGAGCAGGTGGTGTTAAAAAAACGATCTTCCCTGGGTGTGAAATTCTCTAGATACAGCAAACTCTTTATTCTCATTATTAAAACTTTCTACGACTTACTGATCACATTAATATACTGTGAGCTGTGGGTATAATCATCTTTTAGCGGGGGTTTCCTGAGAACTGAATATTATGTCAAGGTTTCCTCCGTGATAAAAAGGAGGAAGGCTGCGCTAAACCTTCCAACCTCTAAATTATCGTATTTGCAATTATGAAAAGACAGTAATAAAGGAAAAGCTGGGATGAAAAAAGCCCTTGGGGGCTTAACCATTCATTTGGTAAATGGTTTATTTTAATGGGGACTGGGCAGGGGTGAGTCCTTATATATACTTTGTGTTAAAAGGTATGTAAACCCTAACATTTGACTTCCCTTATTTGATCCATTTTGGTCTATTAAATATACCAGAGAAATCGTTTTGTTATATCTGTTTGATAAGTGCAAAAAATACCTGGTGATCCTGCCAGAAATCTAGTGAGCTGATAATTCATGTGCTCTCTGCCTGTACACAAGGAGGACTTATGGAGATGAGGAGGGGGGAGCGGGAGGAGTTATGGAGATGAGGAGGGGGAGGGGGAGGGATGGGAGGAGGGGTTATGGAGATGACGAGAGGAGGAGATTAGGAGGAGGAGGGGTTATGGAGATGAGCAAGGAAGGGGTTATGGAGAGGAGGAGGGGAGAGGAAGGAGATAAGAAGGAGGGGTTATGGAAATGAAGAGAAGAGGGGGAGGAGGAGGAGGAGAGGTTTTAAAGATCAGGAGGGGACAGGAAGAAGATGGGAAGGAGGGCTTATGGAGATAAAGAAGGGAGGGGAAGGAGATAAGAAGGAGAGTTTTAAAGATGAGGATGGGAAAGAATGGAGATGAGAAGGATGGGTTATGGAGATAAAGAGGGGAGGGGAAGGTGATGGGAAGGAGGGGTTATGGATATAAAGAGGGGAGGGGAATGAGATGAGGAGGTGGGGTTACAATGATGAGAAGGGGAGAGGAAGGAGATAAGAAGGAGGAGTTATAAAGCTGAGGAGGGTAGAGGAAAGAGATGAGAAGGAGGAGTTATGATGAGATGATGAGGGGAGGGGAGAGAAAGGAGATGAGAGGGGTTATGATGAGATGATGAGGGGAGGGGAGAGAAAGGAGATGAGAGGGAAGGAGTTATGGAGATAAAGAGGGGAGGGGAAGGAGATGAGGAGGTGGGGTTATAATGATGAGAAGGGAGAGGAAGGAGATAAGAAGGAGGAGTTATAAAAATGAGGAGGGTAGAGGAAGGAGATGAGGTCAGTAAGGGGCCCCATGAGATGCCCCTTTTACCTTTTTCATAGGCTTTTTTGAGTTTGGGCAAGGACACAGGGGCCCCATTATCCACTATTGCCTGGGGGCCCCATGAGTTTTCAGTCCGCCCTTGACCCATACACCCGATAGATTTCTTTTGTTCAGCCTGTGGGCTGAACAAAAGAAATCTAATACATTCCTCCATCCAATGGATGGATAACTCTCCCCTTGCTGGCTATTGCATACATGCTCTCTGAGTACCTGAACAGTGAGTGCATCTGATTGGATGTATTCAGTGTTTGGCCGGCAGTTTTCTACCAAGTTCCTTCAATTTTACGTTTCTTCGAGACTGGTGTGCGCATGGTCACCCATGGCTCTCATTTCAGCCAGTGCAGCAGAAATCAGCCACACTTCGAGCAATCTATGGCCAGGGACGGACTGACCATTTGGAAACTCGGGCACTGCCCGAGGGTCCGGGGTCAGTAGGGGGACCCATGAGATGCCCCTAGTACCTTTTTCATAGGCTTTTTTGAGTTCGGGCAAGGACACAGGGGCCCCATGATCCCCTATTGCCCGGGGGCCCCATGAGTTGTCAGTCCGCCCCTGTCTATGGCAGCCTTATGTAGAATGCTATATAAATAACTGTAATAAATAATAACATAATAAGAAATCTTTTTTGGAAAGAGAATTTAGAGACCTCAATTGCTGAGCTATTGTTCTCCAGATGCCCAATGCTCAAGCTCCCAGCACTCCCCCGGGGGATCCGAGAGGCAGGTGTTCCCATCCTATGCACCCCCGGCAAAGTGGCGGTTATGACGTGCCACCTTATAATTCCCTCTAATTAATATCAGCATTTTGAAGATTTGGGGTAAAATGTGAGTATTTTGTCTTCTTTGTGTTCCTTCCTCTCCATATCAAAGCTCTGGGAGGGACTGTATGTATGTTTATCTCACTATACATTGAACTGGAGTTTCCATATGGTACATAATCCGCGGAGCGCTGTGTCGCATGTGATTAAGTGCGGTATGTTTGCTGAGGTCTTTGAAGAGACAGTGATGAAGTGCTAACACATTCTGCAAGGTGCTACTGATTATACATTATATGGAACCTTGTTATATCACCTCAGATAATAAGAGTACTCCGAGTAAACGTTGTGTTCAGTAACTCCAGACAGTTCAGCACAACATACCGAGACATGCTAATAAAACTGGCTACTGATTGGCTGTTAGATACTGAGTGCCTTCATTATGGTATTAAAGTTGAACTCTGGGCACAAGAATAAAATCCCAATAGAAATACTCATCCTGTGACTGTTTCATTTGCCAGAAGATTTATTATTCTGTTCGGTCAATATTTTGATTTATGAAGTCCTGCCAGATGGCGTAGCCGGGAGCAGGACCTCACACAGGACTATGGTGATATGAAGCAACAGAGCCTGGTCTGGGACATGCCCCTTTCTCCCAAGCTTCTGATTGGACACTGAAGGTGGAGCAGCATTGAGTCACCGTTTGTGCTCCTCCTGCCTAACAGTTTTAGACTGGCAGCACCAGGGGCGGACTGACAACTCATGGGGCCCCCGGGCAATAGGGGATCATGGAGCCCCTCTGTCCTTGCCCAAACTCAAAAAATCCTATGAAAAAGGTACAAGGGGCATCTCATGGGGCCCCCCACTGACCCCGGGCCCTCGGGCAGTGCCCGAGTTTCCAAATGGTCAGTCCGCACCTGGGCAGCACTGTGCAGTGCAGTAGAACCTGATTCGCTCTTACTGTTGGCCCTCCTTCTCATAGTCTGCTGATGTGCACAAGATTACCGGAGGCTGATATAAAGACATATTCATGTATTTACTGTATATAAGACTGCACAGCTTACAGCGGGGGGGCCCAAACCCTCTGTGGCAGGAGGAGTCGCTCTTGAGAATGCACATGAGTGATGTCATCCCGTGCCAGCCAATGAAAATGGTTGAAGACCGGAACACAGAAGATGAGCGAGGCCACATATGGCCCTCGGGCAACAGGTTGGGCACCAGGGCTGTAGAGGGGTAAGAGGGAGATTAGTGTGTTCATAGATAGATAGATGGTGGGCAGGGGCGGACTGACCATTTGGAAACTCGGGCACTGCCCGAGGGCCCGGGGTCAGTAGGGGGCCTCATGAGATGCCCCTGGTACCTTTTTCATAGGCTTTTTTGACTTTGGGCAAGGACACAGGGGCCCCATGATCCCCTACTGCCCAGGGGCCCCATGAGTTGTCAGTCCGCCCCTGATGGGGGGATGATGGCTCCTCAACACTTTTAATGAACCAAAGGTAAACTTCTTCAGGGGGATGTAAGAGATCTGTCTTCTAGTAGTTTCTAGAGGGACCATTGGAAAGGTAGGTATTAACCCCTTTAGTTCCGCTTTAAGTATAAAATTTTATTTTCGTGTAGTTGTATGTATATAATTTTATACAGAAAAATACTGTATATATATATTTGTTTGTGAAGTTAGTTTTTATGCCTATGGTTTTATGTGTATGTAGTTGTATGTCTATAGTTTTATTTGTGTGTGTTATTATATGTATAGTTTTATCTGTGTGTATTATTATATGTATAGTTTTATTTGTGTGTATTATTACATGTGTAGTTTTATTTGTGTGTATTATTACATGTATAGTTTTATTTGTGTGTTTTATTATATGTATAGTTTTATTTGTGTGTATTATTATATGTATAGTTTTATTTGTGTGTATTATTATATGTATAGTTTTATTTGTGTGTATTTATTATATGTGTAGTTTTATTTGTGTGTATTATTATATGTATAGTTTTATTTTTGTGTGTATTATTATATGTATAGTTTTATTTGTGTGTATTATTATATGTATAGTTTTATCTGTGTGTATTATTATATGTATAGTTTTATCTGTGTGCATTATTATATGTATAGTTTTATTTGTGTGTATTATTATATGCATAGTTTTATCTGTGTGTATTATTATATGTATAGTTTTATCTGCGTGTATTATTATTATATGTATAGTTTTATTGTGTGTGTATTATTATATGTATAGTTTTATTTGGCTAGAATTGAATATTTACAGTATTTTTATGTAAGTGTATAGTTTTATGTTGTTTTTATTATATATTATTAGTTTTATGTGTATAATTTTATGCTTGTGTAGTTAGTGTTTATGCGTTTCGTTTTATGTGTGTATAGTTGTCCCTGTAATATTTTAGTTGTGTGTTGTTAGCTTTATGTTTGCAGTTTTGTCGGTTTAATGTGTGTAGTTTTATATTTGTAGTTTTATTATGCATAGTTTGCATTGTGTGTGTGTTAAAATTTGATGTGCATTGTATACGTATATAGTTTTATATGTGTAGTCCTATGTGTATAGTTTTATGCTTGTGTAGTTAGTGTTATGGGTTTCATTTTATATGGGAGAAGTTTTATGTGTGTGTAGTTCCTTTTATGTGTGTGTAGTTCCTTTTATGTGTGTGTAGTTTTCCATGTACTTGTAAAAGTTTGCCCATTCAAGAACAAGTAAGATTGGGAAGATTACAACTGTGAAGAACTGTTCAGGCAGAATTTACATAAAAGGGGTGAAAAGGGTATGGGGGCAGTATGTACAGGAAAGGGGTGTCGAGGGTATATGGGTATGATGGGTAGTAAGTGCAGGAAAGGAGTGAGGAGGGTATGATGGGGTTGTATTTGCAGAAAAGGAGTGCAGAGGGTATGAGTGGAATTGTACATGCAAGAGAGAATATTGGTGACTATTGTGGGGGTAGCATGTGCAGGAGAGGAGTATAAAGGGTATGACAGTGGGCAGTATGTACAGGAGAGGAGTGTGGAGGGTATGACAGTGGGCAGTATGTACAAGAGAGGAGTGTGTGTGGAGGGTATGACAGGGGGCAGTATGTACAGGAGAGGAGTGTGAAGGGTATGACAGTGGGCAGTATGTACAGGAGAGGAGTGTGAAGGGTATGACAGTGGGCAGTATGTACAGGAGAGGAGTGTGGAGGGTATGACAGGGGGCAGTATGTACAGGAGAGGAGTGTGGAGGGTATGACAGGGGGCAGTATGTACAGGAGAGGAGTGTGGAGGGTATGACAGGGGGCAGTATGTACAGGAGAGGAGTGTGGAGGGTATGACAGTGGGCAGTATGTACAGGAGAGGAGTGTGGAGGGTATGACAAGGGGCAGTATGTACAGGAGAGGAGTGTGGAGGGTATTACAGTAGGCAGTATGTACAGGAGAGGAGTGTGGAGGGTATGACAGCGGGCAGTATGTACAGGAGAGGAGTGTGGAGGGTATGACAGCGGGCAGTATGCACAGGAGAGGAGTGTGGAGGGTATGACAGCGGGCAGTATGTACAGGAGAGGAGTGTGGGGGGTATGACAGTGGGCAGTATGTACAGGAGAGGAGTATGGAGGGTGTGACAGTAGGCAGTATGTACAGGAGAGGAGTGTGGAGGGCGTGACATTGGGCAGTATGTACAGGAGAGGAGTGTGGAGGGTGTGATAGTGGGCAGTATGTACAGGAGAGGAGTGTGGAGGGTATGACAGTGGGCAGTATGTACAGGAGAGGAGTGTGGAGGGTATGGCATTGGGCAGTATGCACAGGAGAGGAGTGTGGTGGGTATGATGGTGGGCAGTATGTACAGGAGAGGAGTATGGACGGTATGACAGTGGGCAGTATGTACAGGAGAGGAGTGTGGAGGGTATGACAGTGGGCAGTATGTACAGGAGAGGAGTGTGGAGGGTATGACAGTGGGCAGTATGTACAGGAGAGGAGTGTGGAGGGTATGACAATGGGCAGTATGTACAGGGAGAGGAGTATGGACGGTATGACAGTAGGCAGTATGTACAGGAGAGGAGTGTGGAGGGTATGACTGTGGTCAATATTTACAGGAAAAGCTTTACATTTGTTCAGTTTTTATTCATTGATTGTTCCATCCTGCAATATTCCAATAAGGGGAATAATTATGAAAATAATAACAGAAGCAAATAAAACGGAAGCAGATAAGGAATTACATTAAAACGGGTTTTGGGGAATTTAAAAATAAAGTCAATGCAAAAAATAACATGGGCAGCTTTTATAATCAATTGAAATGGTAGAGTTCCCCCTTAAATCTCACTGTGGTACAGTGGTCGGTGTTTGAGCGAGGCTTGCTGTACTATTTCAGTTCCCGAAATCTCAGTCTAAATAAGATTTTTTTCATGTCTTTTTCACTGGAGAATTGATACAGCCTTGAGATGGGAAAACATAGCATGAAAAACAAAATCTTGAAGAATGACATCTCCACTTTAAATTCTAGGTACATTGTAAATGGAAGAGGAATCGTCTTGATTCCCAGTGGAGGTTTATGTTTACACCAGAAGCATATCCTGACTGATAATGTGCCCAGATATATACTTCCCCTTCCCATATACTGTCTATTATATGTCTGCCTGTAGAGATGGTTCATCCATTTAAAGGAAACTTAAGAGGAAAGCAATACACTGTGATAGTAGAGAAAACAATTCTCTTTATACTCTGTTCCTCCATAGATACAGTGCAGAGAGTAAGCGTTGTCACCCTACCACACCCTGATATAAGAGACATGTTACTGTCAGTATCACCAGGTGAAAATAAAAGAAAAAAAGCCTGAAAACATGGGGGATGTTGGGGAGGGTCTGACCTCAGGAAGTCCAGTGGGGGAAGTTGGAAGAAGAAGAAGCTTCCCACCCTCCCTCCCCTTCGTGCTTTGGTTTGGATTGTCATGGCAGAGGTTGATCTTTGGAGGAGGAAAAAGCGTTGTATGGAGACAGATTCGAGACCCACCAGTGGTATGGGGACCCCAGTACATTCTGGTTAACAAAGGCTTAACTCAGAATAGGTAAAATGGTGGTCACTGCGTATAAGTTGGGTTATCCCTGAGCCGGTGGGTTGTGGCTGGAGATAAGTAGGATTGTCCCCGAGCCGGTGTGTTGTGGCTGGGGATAAGTAGGATTGTCCCCGAGCCGGTGTGTTGTGGCTGGGGATAAGTAAGATTGTCCCCGAGCCGGTGTGTTGTGGCTGGGGATAAGTAGGATTGTCCCCGAGCCGGTGTGTTGTGGCTGGGGATAAGTAGGATTGTCCCCGAGCCGGTGTGTTGTGGCTGGGGGATAAGTAGGATTGTCCCCGAGCCGGTGTGTTGTGGCTGGGGATAAGTAGGATTGTCCCCAAGCCAGTGGGTTGTGGATGGGGGCCTAAGTTGAAGGAATGTTTTCCGCAAAAGTCAAGCTGGGTTTATGGCCCTCACATGACCACCATATTTTTCCTCTGTTTATAATTTGGAATGTTATGTTATTTATGTTGAAGTAATGTTTTGCTTAATAAAAGGCTGCTATGGCCATTTTGACACCAAAAACTTGGTTTGTGTATTTTGTATAGCTGGAATGGTGGAGGGTTGGCCTAGCAGGCTTGGTTAAGTTGGAAGGCGTATACTCTACCCTTGTCATGACACGTATAGCACAAATTCCCCTGAAATGATGTTGCCGTTAGACTCCTGATGTGATCTGGCTAGGTTCAACTCTCTAATAGGTGAGTCTCCTGCTCCCCATAGTCTGGCAGAGGGATTGTAGGGGATCAAGAGGAAGACAAATCTACTCTTGATGATGTAATTTGCTAAAATAAGAAACTATTACCTGTCAAAGTGATAGAGAGCAACTCAGCCTTAACCAATCTAAGAAATATTATTATTATTATTATTACATCGAGTTTATATAGCGCCAAAGGGTTTGCTCAGCGCTGTACAATAGGGGGGACAATACATGGCACAGTACCACAAAAACAGACAGCGTACGAGGGGTAAGAGGGCCCTACTCTTTCAAGCTTACAATCTAGGAGGGAGGGGGTAGTGGAACAATAGGAAGTGGCTGAGGGGGGTGAAGTGGTGGAAGGAATGAGGGAGAATGGCCGTTAGGTGAGGGTGGGGTAGGCTTCCCTGAAGAGATAGGTTTTGAGGGAGCGCCTGAATGTGGGGAGGGAAGGCGACAGTCGGATGGATTGGGGCAGTGAGTTCCAGAGGATAGGGGAGGACCTGGAGACGTCCTGCAGTTGTGCATGGGAGGAGGAGACCAGGGAGCAGGATAGAAGGAGGTCCTGTGAGGAGCGAAGGGTACGGGTAGGGTGGTACTTGGAGATCAGGTTGGTGAGGTAGTCAGGGGCAGTGTTATGAACGGCTTTGTAGGTCAAGATTAGAAGTTTAAATTTGATGCGTTGGGCAATCGGGAGCCAGTGGAGGGAGAGGCAGAGGGGGGTGGCAGAGGTGGAGCGGGTGGTGAGGTGGATGAGTCTAGCCGCTGAGTTCAGGATGGTCTGGAGCGGGGAGAGCCTGCACTGGGGTAGGCCAGTGAGAAGAGAGTTGCAATAGTCAAGGCGTGAGATGATGAGGGAGTGTACAAGAAGTTTGGTGGTGTCTGTGGTGAGGAAGGCACGTATCTTGGCAATATTGCGGAGATGGAGCCTGCAGGTGTTTGTAAGTGATTTGACATGAGGCAGGAAGGAGAGGTTCGAGTCAAGAATGACGCCAAGGACTTTGGCTTGCGGGGCGGAAATGATAGTGGAGTTGTTGGTGATGATGGATAGGATGGGGGGGGTGTGGGCAGGGGGAAAGATGAGGAGCTCGGTTTTGGAGAGGTTCAGCTTGAGGAAATGTAGCGACATCCAGTCTGAGATGTCGTTTAGGAGGTGAGTGATGCGGGCGGAGATAGTGGGGGTGAGGAGAGGGGTGGAGAGGTAGATTTGGGTGTCGTCAGCGTAGAGGTGATAGTTGAAGCCGTGGGAGTGTATGAGTTTGCCCAGGGAGGAGGTGTAGATGGAGAAGAGAAGGGGTCCAAGGACAGAGCCTTGGGGGACCCCAACAGAGAGGGGGTTATACAATCATTTTGTGAGTATATTTCCTTATTAATAAAATCAGTCACTATTTATTGAGGTAATGCGCAAGGTTTGTGCGCTCTTTCTTTCATCTTCCTCTACAGTTTTATTAAGCTTCCCCAGCTTCATGATAGAGCTGCACAACCTCTGATCACCAGCGGATGAACACACAACACGCTGCTTGTCACTAACGCCTGTTTGATCTGAGTCTTTGAGCGCAGGAGATAATGGATCTTTGGTGACAAAAATCATTCATGTCCAAAGCAAGGAGTGATAATAGTATGATTGGAGTATCCAAGACAAATGTGGCCAACTGATCACTTCAAGAATATCAATACCCACAACCATCAAGTTCCCTACAGCGTTGCCCAGGAGCAATGTGGGCAATATGGGTTACAGCACCATGTAAATCTACCTAGAAATCTCCATTGTCTCGTTAAAAGAGCCAGAATGCCTTCCAGCGATCAACAAAAAGCGGCATTAGCGCCTACCTACGCCATGTCCCAGGAGCTTCCAGCTTCAGCCTTTAGAATTTGAGATGTTTAATAGTTAACACAGGTAATTTACCTATAAATTACCTATATGGGCGAGACGTCTTTCCTGCATGCATATTAATGAGGTAATTAGAACTCATTTACATAATTGCCTGCCAGACTCCTGTGGGTGACTCGCACATATATCACCAAGGCAGTAAAACACAAACACAAGCTTTCCGACCATTTGATAAACAGAGCCTCTGAGCCACTTCTGGCGCACTCAAAATGGCCTGCGGTTTGGCAAGAAGGTTTCTAAATATTCAGTGCAGCAAACCTTATCAACGAGACCCTTGTTTTTAAAGGTGAACCCCAGGATGACCCTGGGCAAGTAACTAAACATACCGTCCTGTTCAATTATTCCTTTAAAGGTCAAGAAAACATTTTTAATTCCTGTAATTGCAATTGGAGAAGTTGTGCTGGCTGATATCAGGCTCACAGCGGGAGAGCCCGTGGGGTAGGAAAGGTGGGGGTTTTGGCCAAAAGTTCAAATTTACGAACTGGACATTCACAGCGAGCCCATTATAGCAGTACACCCAAACCTCATCCTTATTCCTTTTGATTTTACCTGTATAACACCATGAGGAAGGGAGGGCGCCAGGGGCGGACTGACCATTTGGAAACTCGTGCACTGCCCGAGGGCCCGGGGTCAGTACGGGGCCCCATAAGATGCATCTGGTACCTTTTTCATAGGCTTTTTTGAGTTTGGGCAAG